CTGTAATGGCGCATTTCCACTGCAGCGGGTAGCCCCGTTTAAGCGTCCTTAATCGTCCTCTAGCGGCCAGGCCAGTTTTTGGTGGCCTTTCCATATAGCGTAGCACCGGCTAGCGGGTACTTTTTCCCTCTTTTTACGGCCCCATAAAATCGTGGTTCTATCAGGCCAGGGCCAGGGCTGAACTAGTGACGTCAACACTCTCGACTGCTGATTGGTCAGAGATAATCGTCACAAGATCGCGCGCGAGTTCATCCCTAGCGTCGCATATATATCTAGAAGCAAGCTTGCAGCATTTTTATACACAGCATTTTTGCAAACAGAGGAGCTACAAAAATGGCAACGTCAAAGAAAAGCACACCGTGGTCGACCGAGGAGGTGACGACGTTCCTACATCTCATTGGGGATGATCAAATCCAGCGGGAGCTCAACAGAACAACAAAGCCGATCGCCCCGCCTACACTGTGTTGCTACCCCAGGTCCTAAACTGTAATGGAAATGCGCCACGGCCTCGGACGGCCAGCGAGGCAGCCCGAGGCCTGAGCGAGGACGCTTAGGGACGCTTAAACGGGGCCACCCCGCTGCAGTGGAAATGTGCCATAAGTGGCGCTGTAGTCACAGAATCAGCCCTTGCAAAAACAGGGCTGGAATAGAGCAAATAGAACTAAATGAGGCATGGCTAAAATGCATGATCTGTTTGGTATTTTGAAAAAAAAACTTCACAGACATGTTTTATATAGGCATGGCCCTACAATATATTATTCAAATATAGCATGATAGGTCCACTTTAAGGTAAAAAACTAAATGTTCTATGTTAAAAAAGTATTTTTTTAAAAGTGGAATCTACTAACCGAATCGAGTGCATATTTATAAAACAAGATGGGCTGACATTTCTTTTGACAGGAGCTGGTGACGGCAGGACCCCCGATGGGACAGGAGAGGAGACACTGGAGGATTACTAGGGTTGCAAAGGGGCGGGACATTTCCGGTAAATTTCCGGAAAGTTTCCATGGGAAGTTAAGCTGGGGAATTTTGGAAATATTCGATGCAAAATTATACAAAAAACATGACATTTCAATAGATCTTTTAATTTAAATTTTTTAAATGTTTTTTAAGTAGAACAATGTTAATTATTTTATTGAACAATTATTTGTTTCATTGAAGAACGAAAACAGGAATGTTGAGTTAAATATTACTCATCTGTGCACATGCACATGATGGAGGAATGCACCGTGCCTGTAGGGGGTGTGGTCTCAATTGCCATGCAGTAAGCAGTGTGCTATGAATGCCATAAATTCGCATGGAAAGTTTCCATCTTTGAAAATTCCCGGAATTGTGCAACCCCTAAGGATTACCAATGTAATTTTCAGGAAGGAACCCATTTATTTTGAAAATACACAAATCTAAACATTTTCACTACGCACAGTCTGCTGTTAATAAACTGAAATCATCAGGCCACATACTGTACGCAGCTCCTCAGCTAAACCCTCCACAGCGGACTCTACTAATGGTAACAGTAGTTGAAAGCAGGGTCAGCTCTAGAACAAATCGAATGGGGGGGCAATCATTTACCAAGGGGGGGCACACACTGCCGTCAACAACCAACACACAAACACCAACGCAACTTCAATTTCAAAAAACATGCTGTAAAGTCTGTTGTCTTTCACACACATTTCAGGGTGAGTGCTATTTTATAGCGCACCTATGACTTGTGCATGCATGCACGGTTGTGGCATGACCACCAAAACAGAAACATATGGACATAGGCCACCATATAAAAGTGTGCAAATGTATTTAGGTGGGGACATGTTATAGGTGGGGGTGGACCTAACCTCCTCTAGGAGGGTCTGGGGGCATGCTCCCCCGGGAAGATTATTTTTTAAATATTGAAGTTAAATGCATCAATCTGGTGCACTTTGAGAGCAAAATGAAGAGATCTATGGATAGTCTACATCTCTCAGCATCCATATGAAACAGAACTGTAAACAGATTTACTTTTTCTTTATGGATATTTCACTAATCACTCCCCTTTAAACTGTATTCTTGTGTTACTGTCCTATAGTATTTCATACCCGTTTTTCATTTATTCTCTTATTCTTAATAACTATAATGATCATATAAATGTGTTCCTCGCAAATACTTGTTTACATAAATGGTGACCAAACCGTTTGAGACCCACTGAGATAACTTACACTAAAGTGAACAATCTAAACACTGAGAGAGTCCTTACCTCACTGAGCTGAGGTTATACGATCCTCTCAGTCTGACAGGAGAGGACTCTCCTCCACCTTGGTGTAGAAACAGCTCTTTATATCCGTTAGCATAGCTAGCTAACCAGATGCTAAAAACAACATTCAACGTTACCGCTCGTGCACTCACAAAATGCGATCGTGCCACACACACACACAGAGCCGAGCCTGAATTAAACACAGAGACCCAGAAGTAGGCTACTTCTACTGTATATCATATTATTTTCGATGGCTTTACTGTATAATCAGTGTAACAGGCTTTCATCTAAACACACAGCCACGTAATGATAACAAAACAAAGGTCAGGGGTCATTGGTCAAGCAACACACCAATCAGAGAGCAGCAGTGAGCACACCTCAGGCCGTGTTTTATATTTGTATTCTTTATTTCTGATGTATTTCACACAAAAAACCTTTAGTGGAAACGTTTTCACTTATATGATTAACAAACAAACAAAAAACGGCAAAGTGGCAATGCTTGCCCACCCTGCGTTGGGGGGGCACAGTGACTCATTTGGGGGGGCATGGCCCGCGAATGACCCCCCATGACGCCGACCCTGGTTGAAAGTGCTACTAAATTCCCTCTGCTGTTGATAGTGAAGTAATTACGCTATAACCATGGCAACCAGCGTCTGTGCGATGCCGGGCTGTGTGAGCCATGTTGCCGTAGTGATGGGAGGCCTCTGTCCTTTCTCTTCTCTTTCTCTTGTTGTGTGGGAAGAAGCAGCAGAGAGCAGTTGGTCATACTTTCAATATAGTGTTTCCCACTAATGATGATGAAATGTAGGAATACATGTCCTGCATGTTGTGTGTGTCCGTTTACCAATGTGGTTGAGTGAATGTTCTGTGGTGTCAGATTTCATTTCCAGAGCTGCAGCATCTTGAAGCAGGCAGGTATTCCCAGCAGCTCCGGCTCTGACGTCATGTGATCAGTGAGCCCTGCAGCCTCTCTTTTGTCTCCTTGCCAATTTATAAGATTATGGTGTCTTTTTTGTGAGGACAACAACATGATTTCAAGCAAATCCTTAGTTATGCCCTGCTTATCCTGTTTGGAGTGTACACAAACATGACTTTTGTTAGCTTTCCAAAAAAGGTCCCAAAACATCATTACACTCCATTTAGCTTATCCAAAGCGACTTTCACACACTTCAGTACCTACACTGAAAAAACTGAAACCTTGACTTTAATTAAATGTATTATTTCAACTAATTTCACATGGTTAGTTGAGGGCAAAGTTTTAAATTGAACCTAATATTATTAATAATAATAAATAAATATTATTACTTTCAACAAACCTAATACAGTTATGTGAAATGTGTCGACATAATACATGTCGACAAATTTTTCGGTGCAATGCTTATGGGAGCAATTTTTGGGTTACATATCTTGGCCAACGTCGTTTCAACATGTTGACTGCAGGGGGGGGGGGGGGGGGGGGTCAAACCAATGACCCTCGGATTGGTAGAAACCCATTTAACCCTGAGCCACATCCAACATTATACAAACTGCTTTAAATCTGTTTGGGAAATGTCCACACTGACACCCTGCTTATTTTCTCAATTCTGTCAAACCCATCAGGCACAGTGTACAAAGATTAATCTGTCAAATCTGCTCCCATCTGAGAGCTGGATGTCCTCTCAGTGTTTCCTGAGTGACTCTGGGTGTGATAATAACACAGGCTCTGATGTGAGTACATGTTTTTAAACAGGCTTTCAGACACGAGGTGTAAACCCCCAGCATAGATTTAAAAACAGGATTATGCAGATGTTAGAGCACATGCTGTGAAGGAGGGAGGGGCCAACATCAAGTTCACAATATTTGGCATTTTCCATTTGGTATACTGTATTGTCTTATTGATATTTTACTGAATTTCAACACAATTATATTCTGTGTTTCAACTTTCATATTTTTGTGTTTCCTGCAGTTTACACTTTGTGTCTGATTTCACTTTGAATACTGTATGTGGAATGATGTAGTGTAAAGCTTGTCTCTTCTAAAACTCATTGTATTGCTTAATGTTTATTCTCTTTGAATTATATGAATACAATTCTAAATTGCCGTGTATATTAGATTAGAAGCATTTATTGGAATTATACAAGTACAACAAAAATGTTTGCTGCACTTTCATTGCTGTATGTTTAGCTTGATGTTTGTTTATCCCCCTACTTTTTCAATAGATGCAAAATCACTAGGAATGTTTTCTATCGAAAGTATTACAACCATTTACATTTAAGTTACATCAATCTTACGATTGAAGTTACTTCAGCAGCTGTATTTCCTGTAAATCTATTTGAGTGTTCCTCCCATTTTCTTCTGTTTGAAATGCTCCTGTGTTGTTGTGTGAGTGGGCAGGATGGTGATGTTTTTGCTCTGATTTGTATGTATTTGCACACGCTTGAACAGCAGTATGGTTTTCTGACATGTTCTGCTTTGTTGTTTCAAAATTAAGAAATAAATGCAGGCTTTCCAGGATAATACGAGCTTGATTTCATGATCTAAACATTCAGTTAAGAATCATACCTTCTCTTGTGGATACGTCATCCCTGTCTGAATCATCAAGTAGACGGAAGCAGAAACAGGATTTATTGGACAAGGTAAACATGGTGCTACCTTGCTCCAGAAACATCTCCTTCCCCCAAACCTGCTCCTCCTCCTGTTCTCATGAATGGGGAATGAATGCATGCATGCAGGGAGGGAGGGAGGGAGGGAGGCGGCAGGGACAAAGAGAGAATGCAGAGGGAGGAGGGGGGTGATATCGTCAGAGGCTGTGCGCAGGCTCTGTGAGCTGCTGGCTGCCTATTGATTGGAAAACAACGGGCTGTGGGAGGACAGATAAGGGAGGCTGTGGGCTAACGGGTGAGGGAAGGGATACAGACCGAAGCAGCGACCATCTTTACCTCCCTGATTTACTCTCTTTCCCCTGGAATGAGTGTAGCTGCTGCTCGGGAGGTTTAGGCTCTGATTCCCCTGCTCTGAAGATCCAGACTGCAGCATCCAGACCGACAGCAGCCTCTCCTGCAGGTAATCTGTCTCCATGCTCCCATCCTGCTGTTCACCGCACAGTCCTGACCCCTCTCAGGTCTCCGCTGTACACCATCCTTCCTCCATCCTTCCCTGGTAACCATGGTTTCCTCCATCTCTCCTTCTTCTCTCCTCGCTGCTCTTCTTTCCCTCCCCCACTCTCCTCTTTTTTCGTCCTCTGATGAGCTGATGACATGCACTTGCTTGATTTCCATTTCTACCACGGCGGCATGAATATTGTTCTGAAGTGGAATCCATTTTGGTTTTATTTTTGTGTGAAATCAGAGTGATTGTACACTCATCTTCAAAACAAGTGCCTGGAGTCATATTTAGTTTTGGCCATGGGTCATTTGAGATGTGAGTGATATTTTCATTTCATATTCCTGATACACAGTAGGCTCACAGTAATGTATTTTAATAGCATATGAAAAAAGAAGATTCTGAATTAAATAAACCTCCATGTTAAAAAATAAGGACTTTCAGCACATGGAAAGCTTGATGTCTTGAATGAATCTACAGTGGAAGAGGTGTTCCATTTGTTTGCTCATGTTGTGGCCCCCCCCCCCCCCTCCCACAGTAACATGTGACTTGGCTCTCTTGCATTACATGACCTCTGATGAGCTCACATGCATGCTGGTGAAGCCCTGAGACACACCTGAGACCCCCGCTCACTGTGAAGGTCACTTAGAAACGGCTGACACTACGCAGAAATGTAATACCTGCACATTTGAAACACATCCACCATCCGTATCGTGTCAGCTTCCATGGGATCAGATTATATTCAACTTTATTGTCATTGTTGAGTATAAGACAATGAAATACAGTTAGTATCTAACCAGAAGTGCAAAACAGTAGTAAAGTGCACAGTTATTCATGATACAATATAAATATATAATGTATAACTGAAAGTATTTACATTATGAACAGTCTAAAGCAGTATAACAGCAGTACAGAAAAAGAAAACACTGTATTCATGTATAAATTAGACAGAATAACACACACTGTAAAACCTGAAACGTTGACTTTAATTGAATGTATTATGTCCCACATGTTCCACATAACTGTATTAGATTAGTTGAAAGCCATAATATTAAGTTTAAATTAGGGCTGTCAGTCGATTAAAATAGTCAATCGCGATTAATCGCAAATTAATCGCACATTTTTTGTCTGTTCTAAATGTACCTTAGAGGAATATTTTTCAAGTTTTTAATACTCTTATCAACATATGAGTGGACAAATATGCTTTATGCTAATGTTTATTATCATTTGAACAATGACAAATATTCTCATGAATATTAAACACAACAACCTCTGAACATTACAAATATTTGCCTCAATTCAACCTGGAACCTCTCTCATACAATAATACAATACAAATGGTGTGTGTGTGTGTGTGTATGTGTATGTGTATGTGTGTGTGTGTGTGTGTGTGTGTGTGTGTGTGTGTGTGTGTGTGTGTGTGTGTGTGTGTGTGTGTGTGTGTGTGTGTGTGTGTGTGTGATGGATCGTTGGCGCTATGTGCAACTCAAGGCATAGGCCTATGCTCGAACGGGAGCTGCCTGGACGCTGCAATCATGTTGCGCACTATCCGTGCTGAGTGTGCTGACTTTTCGTACAACGTCCCACTGTCTGGCTTCCTGCATAAAGTCAAGTGCTCGGCGCAGTTGTGGCGAAATGTCGCTCCTCTGTTTTCATTTAAACAGCTCCATATCCGTTAGCGCAGCTAGCTAGCACCAGATGCTAACAACAACAATGAACGTAAGGTCTCTCTCTCGATCGCTCGGGCCACACATACACACACCCTCCCGGTCCTCCAGATGGCCAGTCGGTGCCTGCCGGTGAGCGTGGAAGTGTGGTCTGCCACAAGCGGGCGGCAGGAGCGGGGCTGTCAGCATCAGCTTGTAGATGGTATTTTAAACTCGATGCGCTCTGAATACGGGGCGGCCGAGGAAAAAAAATACACATGCGTTAATCGCGTTAAAATAATTAGTGGCGTTAATTTTTTTTTGCGTTAACGCTTCCCAGTTGTCCATTGACCAAACTTTCAGAAATATCCAGGATCCTTGGAATTCTACAGAGGCCGGCGTAATTCGTTGCAGGAAATGTCAAGGCTGCACATGTGTATCCTCCGCGGTCTTAAAATCCCCACAATGCTTTGCGCACGGACCAATTTCCAAAATCTTTGGCGGAAGATTTAAGTCGGGGCCTCTCATATGACGCACACCTGCACACTTGCTAGCCTGTTCTGTAATTGTAACCGTTACTTTTGAAAGATTAGATTCGTTTTTAGATGAGTCTTCATTGTCCCAGAGTGAAATGTGTGCATGCTTCATGGAGCTACAGTAGCTACAGTAACTATAGTACCTACAGAAGCTACAGTAACTATAAATTCTTAAATTAAAAGACTAAATAACTACACAACATTTATAGCCTAGCCTATAGTATAGTAAACATCACTTACCAACAGGGGACCAGGCCTGAACCATGGAAATAACTTAATTTATCTGTTTCTTCTTGAAGCAGCCATTTTGTAAAGCTTGTCAAATTGCCTAAGTCACAAGACAATGTGACTTAAGCCATTATCTTTTTTAAATATATTGCCTAAGTCACACTCTTGACATAGGCCATTATACTATCAGTGTAGGAACAGCACTATCCTTTCAATAAGGATGTAGGCAATTTGACCAGAGGTGGTCAGCATCAAGAAGAGATGATTTAGGCAAAAAAAAAAAAGTCTCCAAAATATGACTTAGGCCAAAGAAGGAGACGATTTGTGATTTCCCCCCTGCTAGATATTCACTGCTTCAGTGCCTCCAGGAGTACCTGTTGCAAGGTTAGAGTCAGCTGATAATGTTCCTTATTTGAGTAGACCAAATAACCTTAATTGGATCTATTGATGGACGCATGCTGTCAGTCACTGTCACACAGAAGGAGTGATTCATTTCTCTGCTCCAAGGATTTATATTAGATGAAGTCGTTTTCTCAGCAGAGAAATTAGAAGCAAATGTTGAGCCAAAAGCAGAGTGGATGCATTTTAAAAAGAGGAGGCAGGGAAGTTTCTGGCTGAGGATGGAGCAGCACTTTGCTGATGGTGTGATGAGGAAGAAGAGGCTGCACAAGCTGCTTTTAAATGGGCTCCTCTGCACTCACCCACTTAGGCCAGGCCACGGTCCAGCGGAGAACAGAGGATGAAATATAAGCCTCACTCAGTCATTACACTGCAGACAGTCAGACAACATGACAGAGGTTCACCTCCTCTAAAAACTTCTGACTGCAGCAGGAAGTGCTCCACCACTGCTGCTTCTGTTGCAGGTTCACATCCATTCATTACAGCTGTTTCAGAAAGTAGTGCCTGCGAAGTGATTCATCACATTATCTCCTCCATTTACTATGGGGTAATCTCTAATCATATCAAGTGGAATGACCTCAATATGAACCATAGACTGTATGATATGAACTCTATGGATGATGAACTGAGACCTTCATTTAGGCATGGGAACGTTTGGAAACAATGAATGTTCTTTTGGAATTCCCATGTGATAATTATGTCCCAGTAAAAGGTTGAAGTTGTACAATTTGGAAAGGCAAACAGCATTTGGTATGAAATCAGAGGAATAGAAAATACTCTGTGGCCATTTTTATAGAGATGGTGATGTTTCTACTCCACTTATTTGAATAGTAAAAGGTATTTAGTACATGTTTTACCTAATGCAGTGTCAAGTGCTACAGTTCTATATTCCTTCATTATATCTTTCAACCAACAATTACATATTCCATAGGACAACATGCAGCAAAGACCTTTTATGTAAATAGAGAGGAAAAAGGCCTCCCAACAGTCAGTTATTGAACACACTGTGTTTCAATAACCACCAGTTAGTCAGTAAGTGCCAATGTTTATTCACAGAAGAAACTGAAACGTTGACTTTAATTAAATGTATTTTGTCAAAAGATTTCACACTACTGTGTTAGGTTAGTTGAAAGCAATATTATTAAATGTAACCTATTTAAACTTCATATTATTGCTTTCAACTAACCTAATACTTATGTGAAATCTGTTGAAATAATACTTTTAATTAGATTCAATGTTTCAGCTTTTTCAGTGGATTTTGCTGCCTTATTTGACAGGTAAAGTTAACACAAAACATATTTTCATATCAAACTACTTTATAACCTTCTTCCAAATATATGTTGTACCTTTTTTCAAAGTACCTTTCCTAAAGTCCCAAAAGAGCTGATTTGTCACTATTATCATTATCTGACTCAATTTATGATACAATTAAGTGAAAGATAAATGTTCATTTAATTATGTAATTATCAGATCCATTAAAGAAAACCTGCATTAACAATAGCCTTACTGTAATGTATCATATCCTATGACAGTTCCTAGTTTCATGGCCCAGATTCTGGTGAACCTCATCAGTTGAATCCCAGAAGGTGCTCTTCATTAACTGAGGTTTACCAGTGAGCCAACTGGTTCTGGTCCCTATGGGCCCCGGTCCCCTTCTGGCAGATGTACCTCCATCTCCTCTTTGTCTCGACAACATGGTGCCACTCCATATGAGGTGAGGCAGGCATGATTTAGGAGAGGCAAGATAAATCCTTCTGGGAAACAGATGAAGACATGTCTGATTTGGTCTTTTGTTTCAAACACAATGCTGCAGCAGTGGTCCTGCCTGTCAGAGAAACACTGATAAAACCTAAAGGGGACATATCATGAAAACCCATGAGAAAATATATATGGAGTACCTAACCCGCGGACTGTGAACGTGAAAACACAGCCCAGTCTGTTTGTGTGCTGCCTGGGAAATATCCAGCTATTTAGATGTGGCTCCCTGGCTGTGTTATTTTTGACAGAGGGTGAATACAGATGAATTCAGACAGATAGTATAATTATGTTTTTAGGCTTGTATCTAAAAACTAGCCTACTTTTTCCATCATCACGACCTGCCTGGGAATATAGGGCACACAGACTCAGTGACCTCTTTAAATCTTTACTTAAAACCACTTTTACACACTTATACAAATATGTTTCATCTTGTCTTATCATTGCTTTTATTACCTTTTTTTGTGCTTATTGTACTTTTTCATATTTTACCTTTCATCATTTGTTCTTATCTTCACTAAGTCTTTGCATCCCTTGTCATTGTGTACTTTAATGGTATGCCTCACTGTTATTATCCCTTATATCCTGATGTTGCCTTTCCTGTAGAAAGCATGGAGGCCCCTCTCGTGTGCTTGGACGAGGAGTTCGAGGACCTCCGGCCCTGTCACATGGATGAGCTGGACCACCCGGCGCTCCAACAGTCCTCCTACTCCTCCACCTCCACCATACCACTGAGCTCCATCACCAGAGAGGACTTTTCTGAGCTGGAGAACTTCTCCGAGATGATGAGCTTCAAGTCCATGGAGGACCTGGTCAACGAGTTTGATGAGAAGCTCAACGTGTGCTTTCACAACTACAACACCAAGACCGAGTGCCTGGCGCCCATACGCAACCAGACACACAGCCAGGAGGATGAGGAGCAGCTGCAGGACGAAGAGTGAGTCCACACAGTTCATTATCAAAAAGTACAAGAATATAAATCTTCTCTTTCCTAAAGTGGCACAAGAGGTGGTCCAAGTACTCATAACTTTTACTTCAGTAAAAGCAGTAATACTTGTAGAGATACTCTGCTACAAGTCCTGCATATTTAATTTTTTAACAGCACTACATGTATTTGGTTTTGTACACCATTGAACCTCACTTATAGTTCATCAACAATAAATTACATACAGCACCCAATAGTAGGGGAGAGTGGGGTAAGATGAGCCAATGTTTACTTATGTTATCCTAGGCAAGGAAAAATTAGATAGAAGTAAAATGACAACAACAACCTTTACTTCCGGAAGTGTTCTGTCAATCAAAATGAATATAATGCATCCATCACAAAGGGCCATGAAAATATGACTTCTCAAAAAAGGTCTGTCTGCTTAACTTGCCCAATCTAAGGGGTAAATTGATCCGAGTCAAGGGGTAAATTGAGCCATCTGGGGGTAAACTGACCAATGGACTTTTTCAAGTTTAAACCTGAGCATAATGCAAATTAGGCATGCTTCACAGTGCTTTTGAGCTGTTACTGTGAACCCCCTTGTGAACCACTCCTGATTTATAGCCTCTAACATCCCCCCTTTTTACACATGGTCCAACCCATGTGTCAACTTAGCAAAATGAGGGAAGAAATGTCTTGGGAGACATGGATTGGAATTTGGACCAACCCAGATGCTGGAGGTTGGGTCAAAAGCAGCCCCAACAGCCTTCCACTGAGCCTTCACAACTGGTGTAGCTAGCTGCTGCATGGAAGTCAGTGATGACATTTTGTCAGTGAAGGAGGAGACAGGGATTTTAACAAATGAGTGTGCGTGAGGTGCGAGAGGAATCAGAGCAGCTGCCTTTGCGGCTGAGTCAGCAGATAAATTAGCGGACCCAATTTCTTAGGGAAACTGGGTCTGTACTGCTTGTGTGTGCGGCACATTTACAGACTGCAACTTCAGATGGGAGCAGAGTGGCGTCTAGTAAGCCTGCAACCAGTACATGGTTAAGTACTGGTTTGCCATCAGATTTCAGAAATTGTCTACACTTCCAAATAGCCCCAAAATCGTGTACTACCCCAAAAGCATAGCGTGAGTCAGTGTAAATAGTCACGGTTTTGCCTTCTGCAAACGTGCAGGCTTCAGTTAGTGCGATGAGCTCTGCTGCTTGTGCTGAGACATGGGATTGGTCCGGAACGGAGTACAGCAGAATCCGAAACAACAGAAAAACCCACCCGATTAGTGCCCCCTTGGTCGCGAAAGGCAGACCCATCAACATACAAAATGAGGTCAGCGTTGGTCGGAGGAACGTCTTTTAAGTCCGGTCTAGGTGTGCACATAATGGAAAGTTTGGCAACACAGTCGTGTTCGTCACCGTCTTCAGGCAAAAGCATAAGCAGGGTTCTTGCACCTTTTCCAAAGTCAAATTCAAGCACTTTTCAAGCATTTTCAAGGTGCATTTTCAAGCTTTTCAAGTATCTTACAGCTGTTGTAAATTACATATTTATATGCACATACTCAAATGATTATTTCCCTACCTCAGATGTTCTTTATGCTATAAACAACCAAATGTGTGTTTCGTGATAGCATTCTACACGAGGATGAAAAATTAAAGAAAATAAAACTAAGTTTAATATTTCAAAATGAGTGATCTGTACGTCTAAAAACCGAATTCAGGCGACCTTTCACCTCTACATTAATTTATAAATTGACTTCAAACTAAATTCAAGTTGAAGTAAGTAATGCCATTGGCTTGATAACTTAATTGTTCTACACCTTGAGTTAAGGATTTCAAGTCCACTCCCACTTAAGATGCCTGGACAAGTTCCCACAGTTCAGACAAATCGAAATATACAAAGAACATTTTAAAGTGAGTGTCATCTTTTGTCATTCAAATACAACTTGAAATTCAAACTCTCCTGATTGAAACATCATGTGTTGAAATAAACAACTGCAGTTCAAAAATAAAAAGTGAATTGCCTAATATTTTTGTTGTGGAATCAATTAATTTCTTTCTTTAAAGGAAAAAACATGGAAAAGCTAAGAGAAAAACCCTATTGAATACAATATTATTTGGAGCAACTTAATTTATAAATGGTTGTCAACTTAAAAACATGTGTTCATGTTCAACATGTGGTAATTAAGTATATACAACTTAAGATTACATTTAAATCATACGGTAAAACAAGTTGGAACTTTTGGAGTAATCAACTTAAAAACTTGTATTTATGCTACCAATTATTAAGTAAGTGGTAATTGAAAACACCTGATTGTAGAGGAAACGCCTTCTCCCCTAACTCAAATAACTTTGTTGCTTTAACAACATTTCATTAGAAGTTGTCTTAACTCAAATAACCATCGATGCAACCTATTGCCTTGATTTTCTTTGTTAAGCCAAGCATTTGTTTTTAGAGTGTACGTAGACTGGGCCTCCCATATAACCTGGCTGAGCCGATATAAAAACAATCAGCCAAATAACTTTTCAATACATTATTGATTACTATTCTTTTAGGTATACTTTTAGGTTGGCAGTGAACATAAGTCAGAGGTACATGGTGTACTTTTCCTTCACTACATGTATTTAATCCCTTTAGTTACTTCACAGATGTGGGATGAATGATGTGAAATATAATCAAGTGATATAATCAGACTTTAGTTCCACCTGGAGTAAATCCACCAGCTACCCTGCAGTATACAAAGCCATTCAAACTAGCTGCACCTTTACCAGCTTTGAGAACACTTTCATGATCAATCATTATAAAACATATCATATATATTATTCTGAAATGGACCAATCTGCACAATGAATACTTTTACTGTCTTTAACTATATTTTGATAATATTTTTCTACTTCTTCTTGAGGAACATTTTGAATGCAGGACTTTTACTGTAACAGAGTATTCCTACACTCTGGTACTTCTACTTTGACTCAAGTACAAGACCTGAGTACTTCTACTTTGACTCAAGTACAAGATCTGAGTACTTGTACTTTTACTCAAGTACAAGATCTGAGTACTTGTACTTTTCACTACAAGATCTGAGTACTTATTCCACCTCTGGTAGCGTATTAGTCTGAATTGTAGCTACAAAATCACACAGAGCTGCATAAAAATAGCCTCACAATGGTAACAAGTGGGAAATAATATTTACAAATGTGTACAATGATTTGTAGGTAATTTGTACTACTCAAGACCAGTGTTGTGCTAGTTACTGAAAACCAGTAACTAGTTACCATCACTAATTACTTCATTTCAAAAGTAACGCAGTTACTTTACCGGGTACTTAAACTCAAAAGTAATGCGTTACTGTGAAAAGTAACGTGTTAGTTACTTGAAAAACGGGCTCCCATTAATGCCCTTATAGCCTTCATTTCAGTACTGTTATTGCATTGGAGAATAATACAATCTGTTGATCAACTTGACATGCATTATATGCAATCTGGATTGCATCGATATTAGCTGGCTTTCCATTTTTGTATATTCTTTCTCCAGGTAGTTGGAAAAAGTTTTCCGTCCCATATGCCGTGTGCCGCCCGGACATGCTATCATGCTAACTAGCTCCCTGAAAGCGGGTGACTCCACTGTAGCAATAGCCTGCATGTGTTCTACAACATGCCGTGCAATGGCTTTATCGACTTTTCCCTGGCCAGCAGTCCCTTGGTTAAAATCCAGCCGCTGTTGCTTAGGTGGAGGTGGAGTGGCGTCGGCTGAGTCTCTGTGGTCTTAGCTACTAGCTTCGTCCCAGCATGTTGTTTTTGCAGATGTTTTAAGAGATATGAATGACTGGTTTGGGCAGTAGATAGGATCTTTGACCCGCCAAGACACAATTTACATTTAACTAAAACGTTCTTTTCTTTGTGCTCGACAAAAGTGAAATAGTGAGAATATCTCCAGGTGGAGAAACTAGACTTGAGCTCCGCCGCCGCCATGATAGTCTTGTTAGTAAACAACACAAACACGCCCACAGCCCGTCTCCGCATGTGACACAGGAAATATCTAAGTACATTTACTCAAGTACTTAAGTACAGTTCTCATCTCTGTTCGCCTGGCTGTTGACTATAAAAAAAACTAACGCAGTAACGGAGTAACGCACCATGTAGTAACGGTAACTGAGTTACTGAATTTAAAAAGTAATGCGTTACTTGTAACGCGTTAGTCCCAACACTGCTCAAGACACCTGACTTATACAAAGGAAGACTGTGTTCATTCTACAATTACATGGGATTAAAGCAACATGTAGTTTTACTTGTATAATACTTCCATTTTGTATAAAAGACAGTTTGTTTTAATCTGTTTTCGAATAAACAAAGTATTGGCTTTCAGAATATTAAACTTGTAATGGCATAATTACAAGCAGAGAACGGACTAATGTAACATCACAGCAAGCATAACAACAGCCGTGTGTTATGAACACATACGCAAGAATGACATCACCTGTCGCTTAGTGGCAGGTTTTGGCAGAGCAGCCAATGATGCAATACGCTTATCTGAAAGCGTTTTCCCCTCTCCTGAAATGACATGACCCAAAAATGTAACTGTTCTTTGTACATATTGGAGTTTTGACAAACTGGCCTTGTGGCCCTGTGAGGTGTTTTAACAAGGAAATGGTATCAGCTCCACACTGTTCTGGAGAGAGGCCAACCTTTCACACAATGCCTGGTTGTACACAGTAGCCTTGACACAAACGTGTGAATTATATTCAAATGTGAACAAAATTGACTGTCTTTGTGTACAGGAACACTGAAAAATGCATTTTAGAGATCTTATGACAGTAAAAAAAAAATGCTGGAACTTGGGAAAGAATCAGATAAGGATTTGGGACGAGCGGTGCATGCCCAGCTGCATTTACTGTAAATCCTGGACAAATCTCCACTCGTCAGGAGGTTTTGTCTCTGATCTTTTTGACAGGAAACACTGGAGTGCGTACCGGAATCGTTACACGGAATAATGACCCCTTGTTTAAAGAGCCTGTG